AGGCTTCCCCTTTTCTTCCTCGGGAGGGAGGGAGGGAGGGAGGGAAGGGGAGGAAAAGAAGACAGAGAGACAGAGATTTCAAAGGCTGACACACTGTGTCCAGGTGACTCAGCCAGGCGGTGGCGTCTTCTACTCCACAACCACGTCACACCTGAACCTCATTTTACACTTTGTCTTCTTTTATTGTCTAAAAACAAAACAGTAAAGTGAGAGAAGACATTTTCTAAAAACAAAACACTGAGATGAAGAAAAAAAAGGGAAAGAAGCCAATAACAACACACAGTTCTCAAATTCTCTGCTCAAATCCTCCTCACTCAGAGTTCGCTCAGCAGAAGGTCTGGGGGCCGCACCCTGAGCTGCCCCCCATTGCTAGCCTTGCTGCAGCCACCCTGACCCCTGACCTCTGTCTGCACCTGCAGATCCTGATCAACAAAGGTGAGCGAGCGCAGACACACAAGGCGCTGGGCCAACCTGCCCAGACCCTAGGGCAGTGATGGCGAACCTATGACACGCGTGTCAGAGGTGACACGCGAACTCATTTTTTTGGTTGATTTTTCTTTGTTCAATGGCATTTAAATATATAAAATAAATATCAAAAATATACGTCTTTGTCTTACTATGGTTGCAAATATCAAAAAATTTCTATATGTGACACGGCACCAGAGTTAAGTTAGGGTTTTTCAAAATGCTGACACGCCGAGCTCAAAAGGTTCGCCACCACTGCCCTAGAGAAACACGGCAAATGTCCTCCTGCACGCCTGGGGGCCGTTACAGCGCCTTTATTCAGAGAACACCCTTGCCAAGAGGACGATACTAAAGGTATCTTGAGCCCTAGCTGGTTTGGCTCAGTGGATAAAGTGTCGACCTGTGGACTGAAGGGTCCCAGGTTCAATTCCGCTCAAGGGCACATGCTTGGGTTGTGGGCTCGATCCCCAGTGTGGGGCGTGCAGGAGGCAGCCGATCAATGATTCTCTCTCATCATGGGTGTTTCTATATCTCTCTCTCTCTCTCCCTTCCTCTCTAAAAGTCAATAAAAATATGTAAAAAAAAAATATCTTGATTTTTGTTTGGTTTTATTTTTGCACATTCACTCTGATGCAGCTGAAAAGGGTTATACATCCACACAGCGCCAGACTGGATGCCAAGGTTGAACAGGTTTTTTTTTGTTGTTGTTTTTGTTTAATTTTATTCACATCTTGTTGCCATTAAAGGTTAATTCAAAAAACATTTTTGCTATTCTAACATCCTTTGCCTCTCATCATCTCTTACAAATAAATCCCCACCACAGAGCAGAAATATTAGGAGTTATATTGCAAATGGAGCACATTAAGCAATTTTTAAACCTTTGAAATATGGCTTACGAACAATTTTACACAGCGAGAACAGGTTTTCTTGTTGAATTAGGAACTGAACCCCCCCGACGAGCACATATATCGCTTATCTCTCTCCTTACACAGCCGCTAAGACCGTATTTCCCCTTAAAAAAAAAAAAAGACAAATTCACCCCTGTCCCAATGCCGGTGCTAACCAGACTCATTTTCCCTTTTCCTTTTCCTTTTCCCAGCCATTCCAGTCATTCAGATGCCAAATCCCTATGAGGAAGGAAGACAGGACACTGGTTTCTATGGACAACAGGTAATTTCATTGAAACTCATTTCCTCAGGCCTCCAGATGGAACCACGCCTTTCAGCGAAAGAGGACCCGGACTGAAGCACATGGCCAAGAACCTGGGACAGGTGAGACGCACACAACTCGAGAAGACTCGGCGCACACCGCGCACGGCCCACTGGCCAATGGTCCCCCCCCCTCCACGCCCCCTTCCCCCCACCGACTGTCTCCACTCGGCCCAGAAGATGAATGGAGCTAAAGAAGGCAAAGCAGTCGGATGGACGGAAGGAGCCAGTCCTTTCTGATTCAGACCCGGCGGAATGCTGGGGAACTCTCCACCATTACCAAACTGAGCAGTTTATAAAGAAAAATTAAAAACAAAAATTAAAAGGAGTCAGATGATCCTAGCCAGAGAGTAGATTTTAAAATATACGGCGTCCCCCCAAAATGTACACATGCTATGACTGTAGATTCTATTACATTTTGAAAATGAAAAGTATTTTTAAAAGCACTGCCTTGCCCTAACCGGTTTGGCTCAGTGGATAGAGCGTCGGCCTGCGGACTGAAGGGTCCCAGGTTCGATTCCGGTCAAGGGCATGTACCTTGGTTGCGGGCACATCCCCAGGAGGGGGTGTGCAAGAGGCAGCTGATCGATGTTTCTCTCTCATCGATGTTTCTTTCTATATCTCTCTCTCTCTCTCCCTTCCTCTCTAAAAGTCAATAAAAATATGTAAAAAAAAAATATCTTGATTTTTGTTTGGTTTTATTTTTGCACATTCACTCTGATGCAGCTGAAAAGGGTTATACATCCACACAGCGCCAGACTGGACAAGGCTGGACAGGTTTTCTTTTTTTTGTTTTTGTTTTTGTTTAATTTTATTCACATCTTGTTGCCATTAAAGGTTAATTCAAAAAACATTTTTGCTATTCTAACATCCTTTGCCTCTCATCATCTCTTACAAATAAATCCCCACCACAGAGCAGAAATATTAGGAGTTATATTGCAAATGGAGCACATTAAGCAATTTTTAAACCTTTGAAATATGGCTTACGAACAATTTTACACAGCGAGAACAGGTTTTCTTGTTGAATTAGGAACTGAACCCCCCCGACGAGCACATATATCGCTTATCTCTCTCCTTACACAGCCGCTAAGACCGTATTTCCCCTTAAAAAAAAAAAAAAAAAGACAAATTCACCCCTGTCCCAATGCCGGTGCTAACCAGACTCATTCTCCCTTTTCTTTTTCCTTTTCCCAGCCATTCCAGTCATTCAGATGCCAAATCCCTATGAGGAAGGAAGACAGGACACTGGTTTCTATGGACAACAGGTAATTTCATTGAAACTCATTTCCTCAGGCCTCCAGATGGAACCATGCCTTTCAGCGAAAGAGGACCCGGACTGACGCACATGGCCAAGAACCTGGGACAGGTGAGACGCACACAACTCGAGAAGACTCGGCGCACACCGCGCACGGCCCACTGGCCAATGGTCCCCCCCCCTCCACGCCCCCTTCCCCCCACCGACTGTCTCCACTCGGCCCAGAAGATGAATGGAGCTAAAGAAGGCAAAGCAGTCGGATGGACGGAAGGAGCCAGTCCTTTCTGATTCAGACCCGGCGGAATGCTGGGGAACTCTCCACCATTACCAAACTGAGCAGTTTATAAAGAAAAATTAAAAACAAAAATTAAAAGGAGTCAGATGATCCTAGCCAGAGAGTAGATTTTAAAATATACGGCGTCCCCCCAAAATGTACACATGCTATGACTGTAGATTCTATTACATTTTGAAAATGAAAAGTATTTTTAAAAGCACTGCCTTGCCCTAACCGGTTTGGCTCAGTGGATAGAGCGTCGGCCTGCGGACTGAAGGGTCCCAGGTTCGATTCCGGTCAAGGGCATGTACCTTGGTTGCGGGCACATCCCCAGGAGGGGGTGTGCAAGAGGCAGCTGATCGATGTTTCTCTCTCATCGATGTTTCTAACTCTATCCCTCTCCCTTCCTCTCTGTAAAAAATCAATAAAATATATTTAAAAAAAATAAAAAATAAAATAAAATAAAAAGCACTGCCTTTATCATTATTCAAAGTGTGCATACATTTTTGGGGGGAACGCCCTCTATGTGTGTGTTTAAAATCCAATTCATTCCGAGCAGTTTCGGTGGCTGAGATCTTCGTGGATTAATTGAAGTGGGTTGGTGGAGGCTCTGTTTGTCCTAAACGCAGACACGCTGAAGGGAAGAGAGATTAATCTGATAAAGGCGTCACTGTTTCTAATCGGACTGATGGGCAAGCCCAGGATGGGTGGGAGAGGCGACGTTGGGCGAGATATCGTCAAGTGATGAACTACCTTGAAGCCAAAGCAATCAAGAAGAGAGCCCTAAAAATTCCTCCGGCATCTTTGGGGCAAGTGTCCCCGTCTTGGCCTTCTCTACGCAGAGCAGAAGCACTTTGTCAGATTTGGTGAAATGCAATCGTAAGGGGAGAGCTGTAGCTGGGGGCAGCTCCCCTCCACTTACCAAAATTAAACACGAAACATTCATTTCCATTCTGAGAGGAGGGGGTGACATCTTGATAATACTTCCAATTCGCAGAA